CTGATTTTCTCATAAAGTGTAATGTTGAAACAGAACGTTTTCAGCAGATGATTATAAGACCAGATCATAAATGTATGTTGATGTTTCAAACAGTTGTATGATATTTAATTTACAGTATATTACTACTACGTTGATGCGTTCTACTGATTTCGGCAATTATAAGTAGTATTTATCACCAATCGAAAGGGAGATATCTTCTGGCAGAATGATGAGATGCTTGAAGAAAATCGAATGAAGACAGATAATGATTGACGCCGAAGCAAAGGAACAATCACGTTTGAGTCAATTGATTGACATTTTGCAAATGAATTATTTACTGGATGGTTCTCAGATTTTACTGAGCAATTCTGTAACTTTGTACTCAAATACATTCGGTTGTCTTCACTGGTGTTCTCGCTCACAACACTGCTACTACTACTCACACAAAGAATACAATCATTGAAACATTAGTGGTGTGAGTGGCATTAGTAGTAGCCTTCACAGTGCATGTGGTAGTGTGACTGGTGGTAATACTGCTAATATGAGTAGTAGTGTTGATGGAGTGAGTAGTGATTTGAATAGTGGTCGTTGTAGCAGTATTGGTAGTTGTGTGTGGAGTAGTGTGAGTGCCAGTAGTAACGCTAGTGGCATTATTATTAGTAGTAGTGAAAGTGCTGCGAGATGTAGTGTAATCAGTATCAGTAGTAGTGTGGGTTATGCAGTCAGTACTAGTAATATAGGCACTGGTGGTGGTAGTGTGAAAATTAGTGTAGTTTAGTGTAGTAGCAGTCGCAGTGTGGGTATTATTAGATGCATTGATAATAGTATCAGCTGTAATAGTTGTATGGAAATATTAGTTTGTGTAGTATTGTTTGTAGTAGCAGTAGTGTGAGTAGAAGTGTGAAAATGTCATTAGTTATAGTAATAGTGGGAGTAAAAACAGTATTAGTAGTAGTCGATTAGTATTATAATAGTTGCAGAAGTGGTTTGAGTGGTAACAGAAGCAATAGTAATAGATTGGGTAGTGTTGTGAGAATTAGTAATAGTATCATTAATGTGAGTAGTATTTTTATCATTCGTAGTAGTAATAATGCGAGTAGTAATTGTATCAGTCGTAGTAGTAGTAGCTGAACTGTGAACATTAGCAATAGTTTTAATAGGAATAAATTGAGCAGTATTAGTCGTAGTGGTTGTAATGCGTGCGGCATTTTGACTGATACGGGTCGTAGATCCAGTGTGATTGGAAATATTTAATGCTGTATTATTACAAATTGTAGGAGTATTGTGGGAAATGGTGTGAGCAGCAGTAGTATTATTAATAGTTATTTATTGGTACTAGTAACGTGAGCAATAGTATTGGTAGTATTGTTGGATTTATAGTCTACCATGATATTAATACTGTTCTAGTAATAGACCTAATCCTGAAATGGTAGATTTTTCATTATATAACTCCCTAATCCATAACCTCTTACGTGGAAGTCACACCATCGTCTACACCAACTGATTGCATCGTAACAACTACCAACACATGATGGAGAACAAGCTTAGGCTAGAGATAGAATAATATATTTAATATGAATAAAAGATATAAGATAACATTCAACAGGGACCACGCCTGCAACACCGAGCCATGCCTCACTCACTCAAATCACACGATAGACATATCCACAAATAACCACCAAAATGACCAGAATTGATGCAGTCGAGTGGATAGACTAGCATCCATAGTACCTTAACGAATACCTCGAACCGTACCGAAACAACGAGAGGCGAGAACAAAGAAATCAGTCTGTTAATACAAGCTCGTGATAAAGATATTGGATTGACATAGCCTCACCAAATAATAGCTGTACATCCAAAATTGAGGTCGGATTAACTAGAGAACTCTTGTACGTTGAGGCTATTAATGAAACCTTGGGTTCCTTCAGTCATTAACTGTAATTGTCGCAGGCTTCCAAGCTTTTCCTTGCATTTTGTTTGTGGGGATGTCGCGTCTCGACTACAACAAGTGGGATCACATCGACGTTTGTACTTTTCACAAACTACTCTGTTTCATAGTCATCTGTGTTTGCATGTAACTAATGTAATTTTACAGCGTGATGAGACAATTTCTGGAATTTGATGCTTCTGGCACTGTCTTTGTCAGTACTAACTTACACCAAATAATAATAAAATGCCCTACAGCCTCGACATTATCTTTCAAATAATATAAGTCGTTGTTTATATGTGATCGCACATTAGTGTTCCAGTTTAGATGGGAAAAACCGAAAAATAAAAAATTTATTTTGTCTTTATCTTAATGATTAGAAAATTTCACGTGTGAGCATTACTATCGTTCTAGACTGTTCTTCAAGCAAGAAGGTATACCGAATAGTTCAGGTGGTTTCTTGAGTGCTCAAGTTCTAGAATTGACGTCACTTTAAGGGAGGAGAACGCGATAGGATTGAGGTGGAAAGGAAATCATTAACTGCTACAATAGGGATGTGCACATGAAACTACAGTCAAAATACAAGTTAGGTTACGAGACTGAAAGTCAAGAGTGATGGTGATCTGTGGTTTCATCAGAGAACATAATGAGTGTGACTGGGGTATCACGACGAACCCGCTCTTCACCACACCGTTTCAAACTTCAGCTCAAGACTGTTGCTCAACCACCAACCAGAAATTTCAAATGTCATGACGAGTCTGAGATTGACAGATAATTACCATTTAAACATTAAAATTAAAACACGAATTTCAGCGAAGGGATCTCTTTTCAAAGAATTTATTATCAAGCTGTACAATCGTACATATATGAAAATTTTGATTTTGTAAAAGTGCTTATTCCGTGAGGAAATGTGAACACAGTTAATATAAAAGTTATAATACTAGATTACGTAATATGAATAATAACAATAACAATAGATTTAGTGATTATAATAAGATGATTCAAATGTTTTTGTCATAATAATTAAAGGTCATAGAGGTGTACAAAAATAAACTGATATGATGAGCGTTCATGAATAAAACAATGAGAATAGAAGACATAAGTAAAGGGGGAATGCAGTAATAATAATAATAATAATAATAATAATAACATTAATAGTAGGATAATCAAACTAATTAAGGCCAAGGTAACGATAACGATAAGACGTACTTCTTTTGTACGCATAGTTCTGGTTTAAGCTCCTGGATGGCAAGAGCTTCGGCTATTTTTTTAAAAGTTGGATACGAAAAAATCTGGGTAGATTTGAACGAATCATATAAACAACCTTAAAGTCAATTTGTGGGTCTGTTGAATGGTTATAGTCGATTAGGTGTTCAAGTATAGAACTCCTAACTGCTTTCCTTTCACCCTTATAGAACCAGGCTGGGATATGTTCTCGTATCCGAGTTGAAAGCGAGCGCTGGCTACGGCCAATGTACCTTGCTCTACAAGAGCAGGTGAACTGGTAGATGCACATGGAGGCGACCAGACGCGGAAGCTTATCTTTTATGGATACAGAAAATAAGTTTCTACTAGTGAAGGATATTCGCAGTTTTGCCGCGTTAAATGTTCTTCTAATAGTTGTTGTTAGACGGTTTTTGATTACGTCCGATGTTCGATCACCTTTAAATTCCAGACTGATATAAAGGTTTTTCTTTAGAACGGAACAACCCGAATTCTTCTCGCGACTACTTTTATTCATATTCTTTTCTATGAACCGTTCTGGGTGACCATTTTCCGTCAAAGTCTTCTTCAGGAATGCGAGTTCTTCGTTGATGCATTCCGTACTGCATATGTGATGTATGCGATGGCATAAAGAATGGATAAGGTTTCTCTTCCTACTTAACGGAACCCAGCTATAGAAGTTGGTTAGCTGGCCATTCCATGTTTGTTTTCTAGAGACGGATCTTTTTAAATAACCATTACTCTTTCTCATCAGACGTACATCGAGAAAAGAAATTGATTGGTCTTGTTCCCTTTCTAACGTGAAGTCTATGGAAGGGTGGCACGAGTTAAAGGTGTGTAGAATATCATCTAAATCAATATTATTGTCACAAACAACAAACTTGTCGTCAATGTATCTCACGTATAGGTGGTATCGATTGATCATTGAACGGAGTTGGTTATTTTCTACTTTTGCCATGAAACAGTCTGCTAAAATTGGACCCAATGGAGACCCCATTGCGATCCCATCCCTTTGTCTATATATTTCATTATTGAAACTGAACTGGACATTAAAAGTACAGCGTAACAATAAGTCTTTCAAGTGTTCGGTTGGCAAACCTAGATCTATATTGTTAGAATCAATATACTCACATATATAACAAATTGTTTCGGTTAAAGGTACGCTAGTGAACAAAGAATTAACGTCAAGCGAAAACATGTGTTTTTCGGAAGTATTAACGTCCTTAATACGATCAATAAATTGAAAAGTATCATGAATAGAATGTTTACATACTTGCCTTCTAACCGGTTCCAATTTTTCCGCTAACCATTTGGCGATTCTGTGGTATGGAGAACTTGACATGTCCAAAATAGGTCGTAACGGTAAACCCGGCTTATGTATTTTCGAATATCCTTCACTAGTAGAAACTTATTTTCTGTATCCATAAAAGATAAGCTTCCGCGTCTGGTCGCCTCCATGTGCATCTACCAGTTCACCTGCTCTTGTAGAGCAAGGTACATTGGCCGTAGCCAGCGCTCGCTTTCAACTCGGATACGAGAACATATCCCAGCCTGGTTCTATAAGGGTGAAAGGAAAGCAGTTAGGAGTTCTATACTTGAACACCTAATCGACTATAACCATTCAACAGACCCACAAATTGACTTTAAGGTTGTTTATATGATTCGTTCAAATCTACCCAGATTTTTTCGTATCCAACTTTTAAAAAAATAGCCGAAGCTCTTGCCATCCAGGAGCTTAAACCAGAACTATGCGTACAAAAGAAGTACGTCTTATCGTTATCGTTACCTTGGCCTTAATTAGTTTGATTATCCTACTATTAATGTTATTATTATTATTATTATTATTATTATTACTGCATTCCCCCTTTACTTATGTCTTCTATTCTCATTGTTTTATTCATGAACGCTCATCATATCAGTTTATTTTTGTACACCTCTATGACCTTTAATTATTATGACAAAAACATTTGAATCATCTTATTATAATCACTAAATCTATTGTTATTGTTATTATTCATATTACGGAGTCTGAGATTATCAGTGTGCGTCAACATATACAATCGAGATGTACATGTAAAATCTAAACTACGGTTTGGATGTTGGTGAATAGCCTGCGATTGGATAAGACACGCGCCTATGCCCGTCGAAATCAAAACAAGTAATCGGGCAAATAGCGGTTCTATAATTCATCATAAATTTATATGTAAATCGTTACCTAAACAACTATTACCACCCGGCTATTCAACCAATAATTGTTCAATCAATCAAATCTAAATAACAATAATAAAGTTGGTAAAAGATGAGGGAAAATTATCAGTCACAACAAATTAACGTTATTCTATCCTGACTGGACAGAACACAAACAAAAGGAGGGGCAAATCAAGTGTCAAGTAAAACAACAAAGCTTAATTCATAAAGAATAACAATGCCTCAGTCCTCTACGAGTCCGTGAAGCTGCTCGCGTTCATGTGTGCATATACTCAACTTCTACTAAAAGATAATTGTTTTATACTATCTCTGTATTCCGTTGCTTTAGTATATTTTATGAAGTATTACGCGTGCACAACCACCCCTAACCTCGATGGCCAGAAACCGTTGTAGTGGCAAGAATACTCATAACCGTATCGGTCCAACAAAAAGCGAGAGCAATAAAACTAATCTTTCTATACACACCCGTTTTAAAGTTATTGGAAATATGGAACGACCTCAGAACAATTTGAAATTCCGTGACCTTCAGTTTGCTTCATCATGAGTGAAAGATACAGCTTCTCCTTAACTACATTCAGGTGAGCCCGTATTTTTAGACTTTATCAAAAACTTTAGTCCATCCGGAAAGCTTGTTCAGATCGAATATGCATTGAAAGCAGTTGAAGCTGGAGCTCCGTCTGTTGGTATATGTGCCGCGAATCAGTCTTCAGTAATAAGGATAGTAGGTTGATGAACCTGTGTTAATCCTGACACATTGCTTTCCAGTGAAGGTCCAGCTTTTCCTTGAAAGTATTCACTGATGGGGGTGATACCACTTTTTCGGGTAAGGCGTTCCAATGATTGAGAAAAACGGGATCCCACTTTAAGTTTATTAGATCGTGGTTTATGAACCTTCTTGCTATGACCTCGGAGATTATTAGTGCTGGAGGGAGCAAAAAGATAAGACATATTAACACCCAAATCATAATTAAAGATACGAAATGCCAGTATAAGGTCACCTCGTGCCCTACGTTACGGCAAGGGGAAAAGATTTAAGCGTTTTGAACGCTCATCGTAAGGGAGTCTTGAAAGACCCTTCACCAATTTCGTTCCCACACGCTGGACACGCTCAAGGGAGTTAGTATCCTTTACCAGACACGGGCTAGCTGCTTGGATACAGTACTCTAAATGTGGTCTAACATATATGGGATATAAAATTCCTAACGTATAATATTATACCTCCCCCTTTGCGACTTGAAACTCTATCACTTCTGATACAGATATAACCAACAATGAAAGCAGGACAGTCTGTATCAACGGTGAACCAAGTTTCTGTAACAACGATTATATCGGGACATAATTCTTGCACCATCAGACTTAGCTCGGACGTTTTATTTCTAAGACTACGAGCGTTCGTGTAACACACACTTAAAGTGTTTTGGAAATCAATCGTTCTACCCATACAGGCCTTGGAAGCATTGGCTTCCAAGACCTGACTACCCGAAAACCCTTAATGGTAAGGTTATTTTCGCCATTTAATTTGCGAGTCCTCAACTCCGTAAGAGCATTCTTCCACTTGATTCGATCCTCAAGCGGCCAATCTGGTCGAATACGGATATTTGAGCACGAGTTTTTAGTGCGCTTTTCAATAATATGTCTCTTTCTTCAAAACTCCCGAGAACCAGCTTCAGGATTCTTCTTGGTTGGGTCTCGCCTCCAACCCATTTACCAAGTCGTATTACTTTTGTAATATGTACCTCTGAAACCTCTTCAGGTAGTACATTCCTTACTACAGACTACACTAACTGCAGGTCATGTGCATGTCTTCTAGCAGGGTCGTTGTCTTTCGACTCCTCTAGATTCCAAATAATTAAACTAGAGAGGGGTTTAGCTTCTTTTGAAACTGTGTTCACAGCTTTCGACCGTGACGTCAGATCCTGTATTTTAACTACTGGTATCTTACGATTAGTTTTTATTTTAACAGAGTCCTGGGAGTCGGGCGAGTGACTCACAACAATGTTAGACGAAGCTTTACTATGGGACTTTGGCGGAGTGGTCTAAGAGTCCACCAAGGACTTATCAAGTAAACGGTCATTAGTTTTAGCTATCTTTCCTAATCTTCTGCGTTTCCGTGTCATCCATATTCCATCAGTCGTAGCATCCACATTAGAACCACTCGGGACAGTAATTGTTTTATCTGGGTCACCGGTTGCTGCTGTAGCAACATGGCCACCAATATCTAATGAGGTGTCACTCATTGATTGTTTCGGGGTAGACGGTTTAATAGCGGGTTGCACAGGTAGATGTCTGGCTTGCGCCGTGATAGCACTTACGACACTAACGCAATCTTCGCCATCAGTACCAATGTTATCAGTACAGCCCTCATCAACCTTCTTATTAGCCAACACCAGGAGACTAATTGCTTCCTGGATAAGCAATGTTTTGCTCGAGCAACAAAAACTACAAAGCCAATGAGAGTTGGGCTTTGAACACCTTTTATATGCAGTGGGGCTTAATCGGGTGCACATCTTATGGAACCACTTATTACACTCATCACATTGCATCCCTTCATCCACGGGATGAAGGATGAGTAGACCTAGCCATCTTGAACATCAACTAGAACGGTGACAAAACAGGCTATGTAGAAGGATTTTCAAACCTTAACTAAATAAATCAAGTAAAGTCGACCAAGTATGCTTCGATGCAATAAATACATAGAAGCAAAATCGAAAAACTCAATACAATATCACTTTAACTGGGGTAGATGCAATTAAAGTGTAAACAGTAGTTTTGATGCGTAATTTACGATCAAAACAGTTAATTAACTCAACGAGAAAGAATACCACTGTCCTTTTAAATAGAACGCGTTTCTTTTGTGCATGCTGCAGTAAAAAAGTTCACTTCAAAACTTATGGACGAGTCAACAGTGACAAAAATTGAACAAGTGACAGATGGGATAGGGATGGTTTACAGTGGGCTGTCGCCAGATTATCGTGTATTGGTTAAACAGGCCATATCAGCTGGCGTATGGTGAACCTATATCTCCGGAACAATTGGTTATCCGAATAGCTGCTGTTATGCAAGAATATACACAATCCGGGTGGGTTTTGTGTTCCTATCATTTTCGCGTTTATATCGACAAAAGTTAGCTAGCCAACTGATTACATCAATGTTTATACTTCATATAGATTTATAGATATAGTAATTAGTTACACTTAACAGACAAATAATATGTATACTTATGTGATGTGACCCTATAGCAGAACGTCTACATTACTAGAATTTACTATCAATTCTGCTTTCCATTCTCCACTCCACATTTTAAAGTATGAACTTTTCCACATCATTGCTATCTATATCACCGGAATAGAATTCACTGACGATTTTGATATAGTTTCCCCTTGATTCTTGCGGCTGAAGTTATTCACTAGGAAGTCCTAGGTTCATGCTGAATAGCACTCGCGAACAAAATGTATCCTCAATCAAGATTGATAAGTGAATAATTAACAAGGTCTGTTCAGAACCTAGAATAAGTTATATGAGCTTAATATAGTAACCGATACTTCAGTTTGAAACATTGTCCTAAATATCTTACTTACTTACTTACGCCTGTTACTCCTCGTGAAGGGGCATATACCGCGTCCTAAATATCTTAATACAATATAATTAGTAGTATACAGACAGTATTCATAATGGATATACATTGATCATCTTACAGTTTACAGTCATACAAGTAAATCATTAAATTCAGAGAAATTAACTTAAACTGTAGTGAATGAGATCTTACAAGTGGAGACAATCGAATGTATTTGAATGCAACATTACATAACCACTTAGTAAAATCTGAGGACTATTTGCAAAATGTCCATCAATCGTCTAAGACTTCATTGTTCTTTTGTTTACACACCAATCATTCTCTGTTGTCGTTCTGTTCGATCTTCTTTTTACCTCAACAGTGTTTAAAATCAGAAGGCAATGAGAATGGACAACTACAGTTTTATTAGCGGATAGCGCAGATTACGAAGCTATAAGCACATCAAGCGAATTTGAAGCGGAGTGACGAACAAGTACATACCAGCAATTACATAGGCAAATTTATATTCAAATCACATAAGGGTACAGCAAGGCAAACAAAAGGTTAATAATAGAGTTCGCGTAAATATATACATGGAGAAGAGAATGAATCAACGAGCAGTATTTCAAGGATCAACATTTTAGCTAGAGTTTGTCATGTTCTCTACTGTTCATAACGGTAAAAAGAGATATGCGAATTGTCTATTAAGTAAGTTAAATAAAATAGTTTAACCAATACTAACCATAATCAAAATGGATTGTAGGATAGTTGCTATAAGAGTATATTTTTGCATGAGTTTTGAGTTATGATTGAATTGAGTTCAATAGAGAACTAATCTGCCATTTGCTTTGATCTTCTAACTAATCACTAGTTTAGAAAAAAGATTGACAATCAATCAGTGTTAACGTTTCGTTTGTTATTTTTATTTTATTTATTTTAGCACATAGATATTGATACAAGGGAGCACCAAATACATATGCGCCACACAGATCTCATTTGATTTGTGCGAGGACTATGATACTGCCCGGGTGCCCAAACCGAAGCAGGTGGTTTTCTTAGGATGCCAAACCCGGAGCCTTTGACCTAAAGGTCTGACCCACAAGACAGTGGAGCATCGTAAGCAGATGCGGTCCCATGATGGCCAGTGACCAACGATTGGTTCATACGCCATTTTTTTCCTTCGGGATACTGGAGCTCATGTGCACAATTGGTTTGGAATGAGGGTTTTCCAACTCCGCTACGTGGACTCTCTGTGTTCACCAACCCGGTTAAAGCGCCGAACATTCGCTTTTCGTCCTCTCAATTTCGTAAACAACACTAATGTCACGAGGAGGCAGTGAGTAGGACTTCCCTGGCAGAGGCTATATACGCGTGGCCATGTCAGAGCATTTCGAGAGGGAAAGCGGACTCTCCTCACTCTCGGCCGTACCAGGGCATCGATTGATATATACGTGGTCACTGCTCCTACTAACTATATAAGTTATCTTAATTAATAATCAGACTAGAAAGAGTAAGAAATTATACGACTGTTTACCTATGCATACAATCTAATCACATAGGAACCTAATACAATCTAACCAATGGACACTACCTGTTATTATCTTCCAACATTGGATTAATCTATGTTATAAATTTGTAAATGGGGATTATCATTATGTAGGTTGTGAAGATTACAACAATAATCTATAGGTCAAAATGAAGCTTATAATGAGAGGAATATAGATATGCATAAGGTAATTACTGAATAGTTATACCATAAGGATATATAGATAATATTAGTCCATTATTAGGTCTCAGAGGTTACCTATAACTTAATCTTTACTAGATTATAACAGTCATCATACAGTGAAATCGATAGTACTGAAAGTATGGAGTGTTAAATTCTATTTTTGTATATTACAGGTGTTGTGAACAGGGAAACAAGAAGCCTTGACAAATTACGAAAGTTATTTTTCGGGACGTTATTTCATTTTATGCAAAGCTTGTAAAACACTAACATTTATTTTTGTCCCTTAATCTATTCTACAGAATATAAGCTTTCGTTTGATGTATGATTCATTGACATAACCCCTTTTTTGTTCCGAAGCTATTGTAATTTAAACATAATATTTTGCACCTTATTTTCTACTCTAATTCCCAGCTTTGGATAAAATTGTATTTTTCCTAATTATTGTACGTTGTGGTCGGGTTATTCACCTATTTATTCATGTACTTTTTTCACACTAACTGAACTGAACTGACATTAGGATATGGGGAATAGATCGAGTAGTGTTTCAGTTGTCTTGTCTTCTCTCATTTGCGTGTTTGTCAGCCAATCAGGTGATAGAATAGTTTTCTTCTTTCTACCCCACTTTGAACTCACGCGTACTGGCCTCAAAGTCAGGCCGGTCAGCCCATCGCGCCAAGGTCTTAATCTGGATTAGATAAGTATCGTCAGCACCAAAATTGGGTAGACAAACCAAAGGACATAACAATAGGGTAATGAACATTAACAAATTGACATTATCCCTAAATTATAACTCAGGTCCCTTGAACTAGAAGTAAACTTTAACTTATTGGCATTAGATTTCATGAATCAATTCATCAGAAAGAGATTCGAATTTTTGTTTAAAACATCTTGCTGAAATTCTTGCTATCAGATGTCTAGAAACTTATTTTAACATGTTCAAAAGTAGATGATTATTGAATCATTTTCTGTATTGATTATACAAAGATTTCTTCATGAATGAATATGTTCCGAGATAGTGCACATTGACAATCCTTCACATGAAACTCAAACACAGAATGTTAGTTCTATGCGTGTTAAGGATATCTGTATGTAACAAAGTAGCAACAAAGAACAATGGTCAGTTGAAATAGTTCTAAAAGAATCAATAATATTAGGTATAGAACAAACAAAGACACAATCAGTATCGCCGTCGATAAGAAATATGTACACTCAATATGAGAATTGATGGAAATATTAAATATTCAGTTGATAAAACAAATAATGAAGATGAACTATTGAATATAATGAAAGAATAAAATTATAATAATGAATAGAATGATTGTTAGATGTTTATATGTACACTGTGAAACATCATTGTCAAGATAGATTACGAGTGAACTTGAGAAATCTCTAAGAAGATCCAAAAGAATTAAAGATATTCCATCCAATCATCTTTTGGAAGAATATTCCAGAATCCTTATGTGTAACCTCTCTATTAGACAAATGATAAGAACCTCCTGTATGTAGATTGGATAACTATAATGATGATGATTTCGTTGATACTAAAAACACTATAAATACTTAACAGTTTGTATGATATTTGACACTGTTTTGGTATAGCATTCCTTTCACTTCTGTCTTCTCATTTGTGACTTGGAAGATTCTAGCGTTTGAGTGGTCAAGTTGTACGTGATATATCAAAGAATCTAAGCTCCAGATATAACGATGACATAAAACAACAAAAGATTCCCTAAACTATCTATTCTTATATGATTGACTATAACATAAGTTATTGATCATATTGCACAGTTCACAGTTTGTTTCAAAAAAGATATGCTTTGTTCAAAATTGGTATTGTTTGCCCTAATTGAATCAGAGGATATCTTCTTTTTTCTACTTTCCTTTACCATTTAAGGAAATAAGTTTGATGTATGATCTCTGAAGAATTCCCAACTTTAACTTGCTCTTCAGAAATTAAGAAAACAACAATAGTGGGACATCAGTAGTCACAATTGACTGATCACTGAGTAGTGATCAAATGTCATGTGCATCAAGTCTTTATTTAGTGCAGATCGAATGCTATCGACCATGTTGCAATATGGCCACCAGTCTAGGTGACCGGATAGCTCAATGGTAACGTCTCTGACTGTGAAGTTGGGTGACACCGGATCGAATCCGACAGGGAGAACCAGTTCCCTTAAGATTACAGGTACACCTTGCTGACGTGTGCCAAGTAGCACGAAACTTGTGTCCAGGGTTTCCTGTCGACTATCTCTAACCACCATAGGATCATCAGTAGTTTGTACAAACGTACTTCTAATTTATCAGACATAAGTTTGATTTTGATAATATGATAATAGCAATAAGTTTTCGGTCGATTGTCTATTACGAGGTTTGGAATATTCAGATGAATAACTGACGCAGAGATCCAGTTTTTGTATTATTTTCATACATTATAATGAAACATTTCCAGATAACATTTGAAAATGCAAAAACAACGGGAAATACTGCAATTGTGGTGTGAGCTACTTATATCCACATAAGTAGTATACAACGATGATCCGGCGTGCAATGTATTGATATGAAAATGCAGGAACAATGAAATCTAAGACGATAGACTACTGCTACTACCACTTGTATATATATATATATATATATCTGTATTATAGATAAACCGTATTTTCCGCGAAAAAGTCATGGACTTCTAATATTCGTTGTCCTCTAGTTGTTTTGATCTTTCTATTCGAATGACATTTATAAAATATAGATCAGTCACATTATACATCAGTAAGGAATACCAACCTTTATATATTCATATCTTCCGACGTTTCGCGCACTGCTGGAGAGTCCCACAATAGGACGAAACGGCCGTCCACTGCTTCCAGGTTTCTCGTGATAGTCTAGCTTCAACTGACTCATGATCTTAACCATTGAAATTATTACAGATACAATTAATTTATACTGAAACAGTCTAGATGAGATAAAGCTTATAACTGAAGACAATATCGAGACAATCTGAACAGGATACACATTTACCAACAACAGATTGATTAATTACAGTCCTAAACAACAATGGAAGATACAAGGAAACCATATCAATTGAATATAACTTCGCTCCATTATACAAGCAGGTGGCTATTAGGACTTAGTAACTGAGTGGATAATATGATTGCATCTGAAGCGAATGGTACTGGGTTGGAATTCTGAAGGTAACGTTAACTGTGCAATGCAAGTAGGGTGAAACACTCTTCCTAAATTCCACTACTAATCATCATCCATCTTTGTTTATAAAGTATCGATGGAAGTCCTAAATTACCTCTATCTAATAATCTCATTTATTCTATTGTAAAATATTGATTTCCCCCCACCCACACACACACACACACTCCTCACTCAACCATCCACCTATTCACTCCCATTGAGATTCCATGGTTTATTAAAATGAAAAAGCAAAAGAACAGAATAATCATTATTGATTGAATTGATTGGTTACATAAGAAACCAGAACAAATTACAATTGGTTATTTGTTAATAGATTAGAAATCATTCATTACATGTTAATCATAATTATATAAACAATACTCGTTCATCATTATCACCATCATCCTCATCATCATCGTCATAACTTCAATCTACAATTGTAATGGGTAAATGTAGGATAATTAATATATATATCATATGAACAACAGTTAAGATCATGGGTCAATTGAAGCTAGACCATCATGGAGGACTTGGAAGAACTGGGTGGCCGTTTCGTTCCACTATGGGACTCCTCAGCGGCAGTGCGAACCCCTGATCGCGCCCCGCGGGACTCGCGCCAGGCGCTAAACCAACTAGACCACTGAGCTGTCCGGCATCCAATGGTGTTAATGTCTAACATCAAGCAATCCACGAAACGGAGCGACACATCCACCATTGTCATCAGTGAGTTACTATCTCACAACTGACCCGGTTGAACTCCACTGGTCACTGCTTCTCACTAGAACTCCAGGATATATCTCTTGAAGCAAGTCCCACAATAGGACAAAACGGTCATCCAGTACTTCCAGATTTTCCGTGGTTGTCTAGCTTCAATTGTCTCATGATCTCAACTGTTGAAATTACTACAATCTCCACAAAACCCCTTCTGATATATGTGCATATTGAATCAGAGAATGATACGGTTTTAAAGATAAATTAGTCAATTTAAATGTATGAACCGATCGTTGGTCACCGGCTACCATGGGAATGCATCTAATAGATAGAAAGATAGATAGATAGATAGATAGATAGATAGATAGATAGATAGATAGATAGATAGATAGATAGATAGATAGATAGATAGATAGATAGATAGATAGATAGATAGATAGATAGATAGATAGATAGATAGATAGATAGATAGATAGATAGATAGATAGATAGATAGATAGATAGATAGATAGATAGATAGATAGATAGATAGATAGATAGATAGATAGATAGATAGATAGATAGATAGATAGATAGAGTCTTATTATTCCTCCTTCAGCTCACTCATTCTTTTCTATAAACGTTTATCTTATGAAATGAATATAACATGAATTGTTCATAATCAGCCAAATCTATTCAAGCTTCCACTTACATATTTCATTCTAACTGGTTCCGACACTAGCAAGTTCTGACAGGAACCGATATATAACTAAAATAATAAACAAAATCTGACTATATAAATTGTAATAAATTTGAAAAACTATCAATACCAATGGCTGACGTTTAATGATCTAGATGTGAAGTGTTCGGACGAAAAGATCGGACTTCTCATGTCCGACCTCTTCTGACGTGATAGTGGATACGATTTCGTAAAGCGTCCTATACTGGAATGAATTCGCTATTTGTCACTTTCAGACTTTCAATAAGGGTCTAGGTAATGATCAGTTCGTGACTGACACTATGAAAATACAAACACTAAAGTGAATGTTTTGTTATTTTAAAATATAACATCAAATCAACTGAAAATCTCATGTTTACGTGTTACATGAAGATCTACGATTGCGACGAGACTATAATTTATGGACAACCTTTGAGCAACGTTAAAGTGACTTTCTGAATATCCGCCTACTAACTAGAACTAAATGACGGTTATAAACCAGTGTGGAGAGTAACAGCTAACACGGTCTTGGATCAGAGTTTCCAATTGACTACCGCTCACCACCTCATATATCAATATGGTGAACATGCTATCGAGCCATTAAACTAGTATTCACATTGTTACTTGTTCGATAGAACTTGACCAAGTTTGAGATGAACTTCATGCAAATAACAATAGTCAATACTCAATGATTAATTACTTGTAGAATAGAACTGATGGTAAGACTATAATTTATGGACGACCTTTGAGCAACGCTGAAGTGGTCTCAAGAATATCCACCTACTGATCAGAGCTAAATGAGATTGATAAACCTGTATGAGGAAATAGAATTATGATTTACAATTGATGCTTAGAGGTTAGGAATTAGATTTAAGGGTTTTTCATCATGAACTGATATTAGTTAAAATGCCAAAACTCTATTTAACCAAATGGATGAGTGAATTTCGCGCCAATATCCAAGACCTTTCATCGTAAATCTGACTGGTTTGCTCATAAATTATAGTCTTAACAACTACAACGTAGGACCAGGCACATATATTCATCAGTCCAAGTTGTCATACCTCATTAACACAACAACTGGGATCACCGGGTAAGTAATAGTGAGGTTAGACTTAGGGTATTACAGAATCATGGTAAATCAGTTGATGAGGTTGTGAATCTTCATCGACTGAGATGGTTGGGCCACGTGTTACTTATGTCTGAACACCGATTACCACAACGTGCGATGATGACCGGTGTTGGAGATGGTTACCAAACTTATTGAATATAAAACTAGATTAACTTACATAAATCAAGATTGAGATAATTGATGTGAATACGTTGAAATGTCAACCAGCTCGATAATCCATTTTTATCTAAATAAGTAAACATGTAGTTCATGTTAGAAAATGCGCAAATACCAGTGAAACTCCTTAATCACTCCTACAACATTACATCAAATGATACTAATGAACAGGATTGTTCAGTCGTGGAGCTTTCATCAATCTTCTGAATGCCATCATCAGCACAAACTTCAGATAGAAGTGATATGTTCAGACTTCTTCCCATATGATTCATAGCTTATCCTGTAGACCTCCATGTTGAATAGTTCTTATCGTTCAAAAGAACGATGAAAGCTTCACGACCAAACCATCCATTGCTGTACTGTATTCATGAAAATTAAACATGATTAGTGTCTAGTTATCTTAATTCTGTCATAAAATATGATGACAATTGTTATCATAAAACATTTTCACTACTAGCCACTATCCATCTTTGTTTATAATGCTTGTGACTTAAGGCAATTCAGATGGTGGAGAAGATTTAGAGCTCAGGTGGATGATTTTGATGGCGTTTTGTTCTCTGAGCTGGATGGTTTGGTCGTGGAGCTTTCATCGTTCTTCTGAACGACATCAGCAGCAGCACAAACTTAAGATAGAAGTGAAGTGTTCGAATCTCTCCATATGTGTTTCACAGCTTGTTCTGTGAGTGTCCACACTCATTCGATTGGAAAAATGTGGAAATCTTAGACAGAGGTAACTACAAAAACACCAGAGAATTTTTAGAAGCCTGGCACTCAGATCAATCAGCAATCAACAAGCATATTGAGATCAATCCAATTTATCAACCAATCAGGAAAATCATGCACAAATATAGGAACAAAAATCAAACCAATGGGAGACACAATCAAAACAAAGAAGTAAACAATGACAAATTTAAGGTCCATAAGAACCAATCAACATCGAGATGCACAGAACAAGCTGTGAAACACATATGGAGAAATTCGAACACTTCACTTCTATCTGAAGTTTGTGCTGCTGCTGATGTCGTTCAGAAGAACGATGAAAGCTCCACGACCAAACCATCCAGCTCACAGAACAAAACTCCGTCAAAAACTAAGGGCAATATCGAGGCAATCTAAACAGGATGCATATATGCCAACAAGAAACTGATCAATTACAGTCCCTAACATCAATGGGCAGATGTAAGTAAAACAACACTAAGTGAATTTAAACTTCAGCCCAATACACAAACAAGTGACTATCAAGACTCAATAGCTAAGTGGATATCATGATGGTCTTTGCAGCAAATAGTACTATGTTCGAGTCCCGGAATGAAGATCAACTCTGGGATGCCGTTACATCCGGTTGACGAGTATCAGATGGGATGATGATTTCAAAAAAAGTGAACGCAGCTTAGCAGCAAAATATATACCTCGTTGATTGAGTTGTTTAAGTTCACCACATATTTCTTGGTTGGATTCAGTTTTCATATCTGTTTAAATACAAAATTGAATGGTAAGTTTTACGAGTTTCTATCTTGAAACCTAACTGTATATTATAATAAAAATAATGACGAAAATAATACATCAGTATTGAATTGTGGAGATGATTAAGTTTTTGATTGAGATCATGAACCGATTGATGTTAGACCACTATTGAAAACCTGGTAGCACTGGACGGCCGCTTTGTCATATTGTGAGACTCCAGAATGGACAAGCGGTCTAAAACTCCAGACTCAAGAGTGCTCTGATCCATGATGTGGGTGTGGGTTCGAATCCAAATTCCGACACATACTTTGAAGAGTCCCACAATAGGACAAAACGGCCGACCAGTGCTTCCAGGTTTTCAATGGTGGTCTAACATCAATCGGTTGGTGACCAGGTATTAACCTCTTAAGAAAAGCACCTGCTTCGGTTTGAGAACCCGGGCACTATCACAGTCCACACACAAATCAAATGACTGTGTGACGCATATGTATTCGGTGCCCGCTTTTGTGTCAATATTTATGTATTCAAATAAATAAATAAAATGTCTACATGATGCAAAACAATCATCTTTGATGTAACAGGATGAACAAATCATATATGAAATAAAATGTATCTAATAGTGAACAGAAGAAAAAACGAAGGGAAATCAGTTGGTGGATGTGTCACTGAATTTTCATGGTTTAGATGAAGTTAGACATTCATACTGTTGGTCTAGAGGTTAAGCATTCGCTCGGAAGACCAATAGATTCTACGTTAACTTCTCGCGACGCAAGATCGTACATGGACACTGCTCATAAATCCCACAATATGACGAAATGGACAGCCATCCAATGTTTCTAGGTTTTCCATGATGGTCGAACTTCAACTGAATCACACAGAATTCCTATGATGGATTAAACTGCAAAATCATGCATAGAGGACAGTTGACAAACTCGTTCGAGATAAAGACCGGTGTCAGACAAGGTTGCTCACTCTCACCCATTCTCTTTCTCCCGGTGATCGGCTGGATCATCGAGTTGTCAACATCTGTGGAGAAGCACGGGATACAGTGGACATCTAGGATGCAGTTGGACGATCTCGACTACGCAGATGATCTGGCTCTTCTATAGCAAACGCAACAACAAATACAGACGATTACCTGTGTAGCAGCAGCCTCTGTAATATTAGATATCATCATACACAAAATGAAAAGCAAGATTCTCCGATTCAACGCAACGTGCACCAATAGAATCAAACTTGACAGAGAAGCTTTGGAGGATGAAAAGTCCTTCTAATATCTGGCCAGCATCATTAATGATTACAGAGTATCTGATGCAAGAGCAGCATATCTACAATTGAAGAACATCTGGAACTCAAAGCAAATGTCTGTCAACCAACACCAAATATAGAACTCTCAATACAAATGTCAAGACAATTCTACTGTATGAGGTGGAAACTTGGAGAACTACGAAAGCAATCATTCAGAAGATACAGGTGTTTATTAACAGTTGTCTACACAAAATACTTCGGTTCCGTTGACCAGACACAATTAGCAACAACCTACTGTGGGAGAGAACAAACCAGATTACAGTGGAGGAAGAAATCAGTAAGAAGCGCTGGAAGTGGATAGGACACACATTGAGGAAAGCACCCAAATGCGTCATAAGCCAAGCCGTCGCTTGGAGTCCCTCATGTCAAAGGAGAAGAGGAAGACCAAAGAACACACGACGCTGAGACAGATATGCGAAGAATGAACAACAATTGGATACGACTAGAAAGGAGGGTTCAGGACAGTGTGGGTTGGAGAATGCTTGTCGGTGGCCTATGCTCCGTTGTTCGTAACAGGTGTAAGTAAGTAAGTAAGATTGAAATTATGAATAATATCCACACAACCTCCCTTCTGATATAAATCAGTTCACTTTCATTTCAACTAACATCAAAGCATCATGATAATTGAATATTTCCTATAAAACACAACAGAATGTTTAAACTAACTTTCATAAATTTTTCTTTCATTGTTAAAACATTCTTTTATTTGAAGGGATTTCGGATGATTTATATCTACATAGTTTATAAATAGAAATAGTCAACAACTATTTGAATAAAATTAAAGCATTACATTTACATAATATGAAGATAAGCTTCATTTCATAATGTGTCAATTGAAGCTAGATCATCATTGAAAACCTGAAAGCATTGGATAGTTGTGTTCGTCCTAGACTATGGAATTCCTTAGCAGTCAACATCCATGATCTTGTATGTAGAACTGAAACAGAACCAAGGACCTGTGAGTCATGTACGCGAATACTTAGCCTACTGACCATTGAGTTGATATTCAATAGTGTTACTGTTTAACGTCAATCACTCCATGGAATTGAACCACCGTCCACCAGTGCTTACTAATGACTGTCTCCAAGAGCTATTTCATGGAGTTCTAGTGAGAATCAATGACTAGTGGAGTTCAACCGGGTCAGTTGTGAGATAGTAACTCACTGACGACAATGGTGAACGATGGCACAATTTCAAGAATTGGTTGAATTAAGATACAGTTGGATGCCGGCTGAGTATTATTATTATTATTATTATTATTATTATTATTATTATTATTTAAACACATAAACATTGGTACAAGGAGGCACCAAATAGATATGTGCCACATAAATCATTCGATTTGTGTGAGGGCTAGGATACTGCGTGGGTGCTCAAATCGAACAGGTGGTTTTCTCAGGGAGCCACACTCGGAGCCTTTGATTTCAGGAGATGTAGTCCCATGGCAGCCGGTGACCAGCGACTGGTTCACATGCCATCTGTTCCTTCACGATGCTGTAGATCATGTGCACCATTGGCTTGGAATCAGGGATTCCCAACATTCCTAAGTGAATCCTCCGTATCCACCAACCCGGTTAAAGCGCCGGACATTCGCATTTCGTTCTCTCAGACTTGCAAACAACAATAATGCCACGAGAATGCAGTGTGTAGGACTTCTCTGGAAGTGCTTGTGGGCACGTGGCCTTGTGAGAGTATTTCGAGAGGGAGGGCTGACCCTCCGCAATCTGGGCCGTACCTGGGCAGTTGTGGGCTTACCGGCTCAGTGATCTATAGGTTATTCGAGAGGCTGGAGTTCCTGGGTTCGAATCCCGTCAGCGCAATCCTGGATGCACATTACTTATAAGTCCCATACTAGGACGTAACGGACACCATCCAATGATTTCAGGTTCTCCATGATGGTCTAGCTTCAATTGACTCATGAATTCAACTAATAAATTACTAAAAATCTCCACAAACCCCTTCCTCCTCATTCTAATATGAAATATTCATTCATTACAAGCACTTACCATACTTTTTTTCTATAGAATTCACGACGTTTTCAAAGTCTAAGATATTTACAAATGAAATAGATAACATACATCAATTAAATTAAAATGTATTGGATTCTGTGATATACTACATCTTAATAAAACAATATGAGGACTTCAATTCATAGAAGCATCATTAGATGGTTTGCTTCCTTGTTTGTTTGTTTGTTTCTTCATCCTCTTTTTCCTTTCTTACTGATCAGTATTCTTTGGAGTATAGTTGGAATATGAATAATTCAAATGTCATTTTAAAGATGTATAATTATGTGGATACAATATCCACAAAACGCCTTCTGACATGAATCAACATATGCTCACTAGTGACTGTCTCCAAGAGCTATTTTATAGAGTTCTAATGAGAATCAATGACCAGTGGAGTTCAACTGGGTCCGTTGTGAAATAGTAACTCATTAAAGACAACGATGGATGCGTCGCTCAATTTCATGGATTAGTTGAAGTTAGACATTCACACGGCTCAGTGGTCTAGTGGTTAAGCGTTCGCGCACGAGAACAATAGATCTTATGTTGAAATCTCAAGAGACAGAATCGTGGATGCGCACTGCCACTGAAGAGTCACACACTAGGACGAAACGGCCGTCCAGTGCTTCCAGGTCTTCCACGGTGGTCTAGCTTCAATCGACTCATGATCTCAACCATTGATTTAGATAGAGTTTTGCTCTCTGAGCTGCAATCAATCCTATGCAAACCAAAAGACGAAACGACAAACGAAGAAAAGCAAAACATCAACAATAAAACAAACTGTGCCGACTGCGATAAACACTACATCATACAAAGCCGACTCCCCCTTCATCATCTTCACCTTCATGAGCATCAATTAGTGGTCAAATGCCATGAAATGCCCCCACATATATCAATGCACATGGACAACTGCCGACACACATTCGACTGGAAAAATTTGGACATTTTAGTTGGAGGCAATTCCAAAAACACCAGAGAATTTTCAGAAACTTGGCACTGAAGTCAATCAGCAATCATCAAACACATTGAAATCGATCCAATTAATCAACCAATCAAGAAAATTATGGACAATCACAAGAACAAACATCAAACCAATGAGAGATACAACCAAAATAAAGAAGAAAACAATGGCAAGTTTGAGATCAACAAGAACCAATCAACATCAAGATCTACAGGACAAGCTGTGTATCACATGTGAAGAAATTCGAACACTTCACTTCTACTTGAAGTTTGTAGTGATGATGTTGTTCAGAAGAACAATGAAAACTCCACGACCAAACCATTCAGCTCAAAGAACAAAACTCCATCAAAATCATCCACTTCAGCTACAAATCTTCTCCATCATAACAAATGATTGAAAATGTGTGTAGTAGATGTAATTGTTAAAACATGAAACCTGAAGAATTACCACAATCGTCATCAAAATAGTATCTACGATGTTACTCAACGTCGGTTGACCGGATATTATCTGTAATAATTTATTATGGTAGAGAATATCCTGGCTTCTAGCTAAAGAGAAAACTATAAAAAAACGCTGTGGGTGGTTAGGACATACATGATGGAAATGATCAAACTGCATTCATTATAAGGTGATTCTAAACTTGGAATCCCAAAAGGAAAAGAGAACAGGGGGAAATTAAGGAACACACTGTCGAATATACAATCTAATCAAGAATGGTTATTATATAATGCAATTTCATGCCAAAAACAAAATGATACTGTTTTTTCTTTGTAGTACAAACCTGTCATAACATCAGGACCATATTCAATCTTTAAACTTTTGCTTATGCATTGTATATCTATAATAAACAATATTATTTGAAGAAAAGCCCATCAATATTTGTGTTTAATTAGACGTACATTGATTCATTGATTTTGACCTAGCACGATGTGACTTGATATTCTTTCCTAAACAAATATACAAATCATTTGAAATTTAATATGCAATAGAAATAAATTTCAGAAGGGGTTATTTTATAGATATTATAATTGAGATCATAAATCAATTGAAACTAGACCATCATGGAAAACTGGAAGCATTGGATGACGGTCCGTTTCACTCTATCGTGGGACTCCTCAGTGTCAGTGCGCATCCACGAACCTGCTTCGCGAGATTTCAACACAAGATCTATTGGTCTCGTGTGCGAACGTATAACTTCTAGACCACTGAGTTGCTGGACATCCAACGGTGTTAATGTCTAACTTCAACCAATCCACAAAATGTAGCGACACATCTACCTTTGTCTTTAGTAAGTTACTATCTCACAACAGACATGATTGAACTCCACTGGTCACTGCTTCCCACTAGAAATTCAAGAAATACCGCTTGAAGTCAGTCACTAGTAAGCATATGTTAATTAGTATCAGAAAACGTTATTTTGTGGATGTTGTAGTAATTTCAACAGTTGAGATCATGAGTAAATTGAAGTTAGACCACCATGGAAAACGTAGAAGCACTGGACAGCAGTTTCATCCTATTGAGGAACTCCTCAGCAATGATCATCCATGAATTTTTATATGATCATATTTACTGATTTCAGTTTACTAAGTATTCATTCAAGAAAAGTTTTCTATATTTTGATCTATTTGATAAATTAAGTGATCTGGTCTAGTCTAATCTGATTTGAACTGTTCTCTTGTAAAATTGAGAGACTGAAAAAATGAACTTAGAAAATTGTGAATTATTTTAGAATTTTTCAACAAGTTTTCATTATCAGAATGAGGGTAGTGTGTGCTACTTATATTGAAATAAGTGGTATATAACGCTAGTCAGGAATAGAATATCTGGCACCAGATAGTTTCAAAAATCGAGAAGGAAAGAAAGGGAACGGAAAGTAATTGGTATGGAAATGCAAGAACAATGAAACCTTAAACATTTAATGAACATTTTACAAAATGAAGTATTGGAGTATGGTGTTTGTATTTTATCAAGTAACTCTGTCATTTTGTACGAAATCTAATCGGTTGTCCTTACTTCTGCTCTCTTTCACTACAATTGTATTAATGTCAGTGTGGTGTGTGCTACTTATATTGACATAATTAGTAGATGATGTTGGTCGCGAACAAAAGGTCGGGCAGCAGAGAGACAACAGGATCGAACAGTAAACAATCGAAACAGGATGCAATTTGTATGAAAATGCAAGAACAATGAAGTCTGAGTCATTTTGAGACAATCGATGGACACTTTGCAAATTACGTATTTACTATTTGATTGTTAGATTTTATTAACAAGTTCTGTAATTTTGTGTCGAATACATTCGATTGTCCCCACCCGTGTTTCTGTTCACTACATTAGTAGTTAAATTGATGAATTGATTTAAGCTAGACCATCATTGAAAACATGTAAGCACTAGAAGGCCGTTTCATCCTAGTTGTGAGATAGTTACTCACTGAAGACAATCGTGAAATACTGAGGATTGAATAACGTAACACATGAACACCGTTGGATGCCAACTGGCTCAATGGTCTAGAAGATAAGTGTTTGCGCGTAAGACCGATAGGTATTGGGATCCAATCTTATGTGCCGGATCATAGATAGGTCGTGCTGAGGAGTCCTATACTAGAACAAAACGACCATCCAATACTTCCAAATTTTCAAAGATAGACACTCCATAAATTGGTTCATATTGTTCATAGCAATTTAAAGCACATTACTGATTTTATGAATGATTGAAAAGAGTTTTGATCAGAAATTTGTTATGCAATCATCAGGAAATTAAGATTCAGTGTACGCTACATTACTATGTTTATATGATATAACAGATGAGACAATAATTGATGGACGATCTTTGGGCGATAGTAAATGTTAGGTTTGAAGGTAACACGAGTTCACTTGATGTGCGAACGAAAACAAAGACTCAGTGACCAAGACCAGAAAGCCGGCTATTGATGCGTCCCAGCCCCGCTAACCAGAGGAAGAAGTTCAAGCTTGGAGTATGAAAGTATATTCCGCAAACAGCCAGAAACGAGCGATAACAACAAACACAATTCAAAACGTATGTACACAGCACAAGTCCGTCCTTGCGAAGAGTTACCAAATAGCATACTAAAAGAGGAAACGGACCAATAACACTTAAGATATTTCCCAAGTGTGAAACACGACATGAAGGTGACAAGAGCGCTTTTGGTGCGAAAATAAAGAAATTCAAATTTTCTAAATGAAATGACGAAATTAGGTCCTTTTCCAAGTGAGTTCTGGGGATCTAACATCCCCAACAGTAAAGTGACTTTGAGAGTGTTCCCTTAATACCCGGGAATAAATGAGGGTTATGAACATGTATGAAGAATTAAAATTATGTTTTGTAGTTGATGATTAGGATTAAGAATTAGATTTAGAGTTTACATCACGAACTGACACCAATTATCATACCAAAAACTCTATTTAACCAAATAGATGAATGAATTTCATACCAAAATCTAAGACTTATCATCGTAAATCTGATTAATTCGTTCATAAATTATTAGTGTTGCCATGTTACATAAACCATAGAGATTAATTTGGCCAAATATTGATTTCGGTGGTTGAAATCATAAGTCAATTGAAACTAGACCACCATGGAAAACCTGGATGCACTGGACACCCGTTTCGTCCTATTGTGGGACTTTTCAGTGGCAGTGCGCATCCACGACCTCACCCCTTGCGAGATTCGAACCCAGGACCTACTGGTTTCGCGCGCGAGCACTCAACCACCAGACCACTGAGCCGGCATCCAACGGTGCTAATGTCTAACTTCAACCAATCCACGAAGTTGCGTCACCGTACACCATTGTCTTCAGTGAGTTGATATCTCACAACAGACCTGGTTGAACTCCACGGGTATCGGCTTCTCACTAGAACTCCAACATATATCTCTTGAAGTCAGTCACTAGTGAGCAGATGATTATTATCAGAAGGGGTTTTGTGGAGATATTTAGAAATTTCACTGGTTGAAATCATGAGTCAATTGGAGCTAAACCACTATGGAAAATCTGGAAGCACTGAACGGCTAGGTTCAATTGACTCATGATTTCAACCAGTGAAATTTCTAAAATCTCCACAAACCCCTTCTGATAAATATTGATTTACTTTTATGTATGATAAAATGAAAAAAAACATTTCATGAACTAAACATTAACTTACTAATTATTGATTTGATACGGTTACCATAAGATCTTACTGATTTTATATTTTCTTGAATAGATTCTGTAAATTAGTCATTAAGAGTATTTAATTAACAGAAATGGGGTTTTGTAGATAAGACAGTAATTTTTAATAGTTGAGATCATGAGTCAAGTGAAGTTAGATCAATATGAAAGACCTAAAAGTACTGGATGGTTGTTTCGTCCTACCTAAAGGACTCTTCAACAGTGAGCAAAATTCAATGTAATCAGGTTTTTCATAACGATCTAGTTTCAATTATTTCATGATCTGAACTATTAATAATAGAGTAGTTATTAATGTGTTGATATTCGATTATTTGTCATTCATATCGATATTGATGAATGTCTAAATTATTTTCGTGTAAGGATAATTTCTGAATAAAATCATCAATACAAACTTCATTTTTATCGGAAAGTTGTACTGATGAGATCGTTCAGATTAACAATGAAAGCGACAGTTCTCACAACTGATCAAGATATTCTGTAGTACCGTAAAGCAGAATATTTGATTGTCACCATCTATGTTATCATTCACTGCAACGTTACTGCTAATGATATCATAACTACTATAACAACAACTACTACTGCCACTACTACTACCACCACCACTACTACTAATACTAATACTACTACTAATACGACCACTATTACTACTACTACTACACCTACGACTACTGCTATTACTACTACTACTATTACAACCAATACCACTACTACTATCCTTACTACTACTACTACTACTACCACTACTACTACGACTACTATTGCTACTACCACTGCTGGCACTACTGCTGAGACGACGACTAGTAGTTTCACGACTTCAATGTGGAATATTTCCAAAATGAAAAATATGAAGTTCATTTTTATAATTATATTTGATTTTAAAGTCTTATACTGAAATATATAATATCCAGTGGATGTTTACAATATCAGTTCACAAATGTGTGTTGATATTACAAATCCTATGTAAGTAGGTTTAAAAGTTTGATGGTTAAACGATATCTTAAACAAACACTTACGTTTTACATCTTTTATTTCATTGAATATCATATCTCTTTTCATATGTAAGTCTATAAAAAAACAAATGACTATGAAGTGATTCAAGTTCTTTATGGTAATAAGAATATGCATTTATCAGAATACATCAAATCTTGTATAATTGAACTTAGTCAATACATAAACCACAAAGGATAATTATCAGTTTGGGGGTTGTGGACATTGTTTTATTGAAATCATGAGTCAATTGAAGCTAGAGATTAGATAGTAACACCATTGGATGCCAGCTCAGTGGTCGAGTTGGTTAAGCGCCTGGCGCTAAACTGTTAGGTCCTGAATTTGAATCTCGCGAGGTGCAAGATCATGGATGCGCACTGCCGCGGAGGAGTCCCACACTAGGACGAAACGGGTGTCCAGTTCTTCCAGATTTTCCATGGTGGTCTAGCTTCAACTGACTCATGATTTCATTCAAAAACAAAGGATAATGTCTTACAGATATTTGTTTTTATAAACAATTGACATTAGTAATCAATCAACATAAATAGATAGTAGATGTAAAGATGATTGATAGCTAACAATGGAATTGAGAATGAGAATTTCGTTCTATTTTGGACTTATCAGCTTGATATACCTTTATTCTGGTATTAGTGTTCATTTCAGGGCTTGATACTAGGTGAATAACATGATAGCGTGTAAAGGGAATGGTACTAGGTTGAAGTTTCAAAGTTAATATCAACTCTGAGATATATATATACAATTGACAAGTCTCAAGTACAACGAAGCATTCATTCCATATTTCACTGCTGGCTGTCATTCATCTCCACTTATAATACTTGTGACTGAATGCACTATCAAGGTAATTCGCGTAGGATATACATATATACCAACAAGAGATTGATCAATTGCACTCGTTAACATCAATGAAAAGATTCAAATAAACAATATTTACCATTTCCTGTGGACCCATATAGAAATAATAGAAGTACATTAAGAAGTAGTACAAATGAATGGATCATATTCAATATTGTAATTTCGTTTATTCTTCTTCTCCTTTTATATCATTTCAGAATGATGGTTAGTAAACATAAATACTTACTATCAATATATCCTATTTCTAATTGGACTAAGTCTCATTATACATAAATAATTAAACAAACTAATTAATCTAAATTACGAATAAGTTGGTAAGTTTCAAAAGTGACCTAATTAGTAAACTATTCTATACATGGTGTGATTATATGAATCTAGACAATATATTTTTGAATTATTTGGAATATGTTGTATATCATTTACAAACTTCATAAATCATGCAGAAATTGAGTCAATATGACTCCCTTCTATTGTTCATATTATTTCTTAAGCGTATCAGCAGTAGTAGTTGTTGTTTTAGTAGAAGCATTAGTAGCAGTAGTAGTAGACCTATGTGTAGTAGTAGTAGTAGTAGTAGTAGTAGTATTAGAATGAGGAGGAGAGGAATATGAAAAGGAATGTTTGTTTTTGTGATTGTATTATAGCCATGTGCCCATATGTGTGCAGACGTTTATTCATAATGTAGTGTGTACCACTGATGTCGACAGATTTACGTAGTATGTATCACCAACCGAAAGCGAAATTCTTGGTGGCAGAGGTTAAGAAAGTTTAAGAAAAAAGAGCGAGAAGAGAGATATTTTTTTTTGTTGTAGAAACGAAGGAACAATCAATTACGAGACAACTGATGAGTATTTTGCAAATGAAGTATTCACTATATGGTTCTCAGATTTTCAAAAGATATAGTGTAATTTTGTATCAAATTATATTCGGTTGTCCCCCTATTTTATAATTAGAAGTGTTTGAATTATAGTACAAACTAAGAATTCTATAAATGACACAATTAAGCCACGAAGTGTTAGCTGAGCATGTAAGAACGTATTGTATCCGTCATTTCAAATCAAGCGGTCATCAAGTATAAAAGAATCATTAGTTCATACAAACATTACACCGTCACAGGTGTTCTCGTCCACAACATTACCAAGATTTTGTTCTTCATTAAAGATGAGATTTACAGAAAACGTGGAAATGAAAAGATCTACCTGGATTAAATGAAGTTGAAAACACAAATTAGCAAAATGTTCATTTCACTTAGTGTTATTTGCCTATATCTTCCTATTGTTGTTTAGTACTGCAATTGATCAGCCTCTTATTGGTTTATGTGCATCAAGTGTAGATCGCCTTGATATTGCTTCAAGTCACAAGTTTTGTAAGCATGATTGGATGATGATGGTTAGCAGTGAAATAGAAGACGCATGTATCATCCTTTCTGGGACTCGTCAGCTGGTTGTATTTGCATCTCACAGTTGATGTACACTCAGGGACTCGAGCACAGTACCGTTTGCTTCAAACTGCATCACGTTATCCACTTAGTTATTGAGTCCTGAAAGCCAACTCTTCGTGCAATGGGGTGAAGTTTAAATTCACTTGGTATTGTTTACTTGAATCTTCCGATTGATGTTTAGGACTGCAAGTGATCAGTCTCTTGTCGATATATCTACATCTTGGACGGGCTGCCTTGATACCTAAATGTTACTTGAACACTTCAAACCGAATCGCCATTACATTTCATAATATATATTAGATTCGGTCATTTAAAAACTTCGAGCAATTGTTAACAGTAGTTGTAAAAATGACTGGGGAATCAAACTAATGACTGTTGTAGCAAACCAATCAAGAAATGATGTTTGATATCAATGATGAATGTCTTTGTAAATCAATTATGAACTGTAAATCACATGAAAATAACATGACGAAATTTGTAAGAATTGACAATCTACTAGTGGTTTCTTAGAAGAAAACAGCTTAATCCCGCCTGAC